GTATCTTTCTTGATCAAGAAAATCGAGAACGAGAGGCTGCCTCTCAAGCAGATTAAACTGGCTAATAGATACTAGATCGACCCAGGATACTTGCTGGTGAAATCATCTCTTCCCATTATATCTATTGTTTCTTAGATAATCCATCTTCAAAAGTTTTCCCCTTTTTTTATTGGATATTTTTTGGTATGAAACCAGGAAGACAATTGTTAGTTGTTACGCCTCAAAATCGAGGCTCAAGAAGAAGCCCAAACAAAAGGCCCACACTCCACGTCATAAAAACTCGAATTGAAGTCATAGGTAAAGATGATGAATCGGCGCCTCACCCAAAGCGCCATGTGTAAATAGAAGCTCCATGACTGAAGCGTAGCGCCACCTGCTGCAAAACAACAATAAAGATGTGATTTACCGTTTCATTCGAAACACTATATAAGTGATTAAAGCTGAAGCCGAAGTACTATGTAAGTGGCCGAAACCCTGAAGGCGAATAGTTGGCAAGTGGCTGGAGCCCTTAGCTGATGCACTATTTAAGTAGCAGAAATTCTGAAACCGAAGCACTATATACGAAGTCAAAGAAGAAGTCGGAGATCTTGACACCAATAACCTTCAATACGAAGCTCCCTTTGACCGAAACCCTCGCTCCAATCCAAAGCTCCCTTTGACTGAAATGCTTGTTGTCTTTTAGAGAATCTGCGGACAATCTTTAGGAATGATTAATGTGACTTTTGTAATAATGAATGTCAAGATTGTTGGCCTAGGATATAACGTGGCTGACCCGTTGTCAATGTATTAAATACATAGTAGACTGAGTGATGTGAAACTTCGACCTGGGAGATGAGGCCACGTAGTTGTTATCCAACAACTACAACTTCGGCCAGAACTCCATAAATAAGCAATTCTTGTACTATTTGAATGTAATGCAACTCTTTACATTCAAAAACACATTCAACTTTCTCTCTTGCTTATTTCCAATATTATTTGTTTGAGTTTTTGTTACTAATTTGGTTGAGGTTTTTTATGATTAGTTAAATATGCAATCACATTTGATCACATTGCAGATGTTCGAACATTTTTGTCTCGCGTCATAGAACATCTTCCACGTCCATAAACACAATCCTTTTCCTATTCGGATTTTCGGTCAAAACGTGTCGAAATTTGCTTGCGTGGATCCTAGTGGGCTCGACATTTGTTGTCAATGTGACCATTGCGGAAAACAGTGTCAACAACAATCTTTCTCATGAACTTTTTGATCTTGTTCTACTGGTTTAGTTATCTTTTTGTTACAGGGAAAATTGTACCATCAAACATTTTATTCAGTTGTAGCATGTATTAATTTTTGGGAGGTGCTACAAGTATATCGGG